CGGTCGGTGTTGGGAAAAGTTTAGTATTGGGCAGTCTGGCAGCTAATTTTCCATGGCCAGAAAACGTACGTGTGTATGCTTGGAATACATATGTGCGAGATGATTCTAAAAAATTTCGTATGTTATCCGTGATTCTTGAGCGGCTATCGGACTGCGGCTGTAATCTGTTAATCATAGAGAATTTGAAACCTAGTGATCATGAGTTCGTAAAAATGGTTAATGAATTAATACAACAAATTGTCAATGGCAAGAAGCGCCTTATTATATTCTATGTATTTAACTTAAATTGGATGCGAGATGAACATTTTGTTGTCGAACAGAGCGAATTTCTTATGAAGTCTTTACCGGTCGACCATGTAATTAGCTTTAACCCATTTACCAAAGCTGAGCTTAGAGAATGCGTGCATCGGGAAATGATATTGGAGAAGGTCCATTTAATACCAGAAGATTTAGAAGAGATTATAGAAACGATCGATGTGACTCATTCAGGTTGTAAGAATGTAAATGCTAAAGTGTTAATGTACGGTATAAGGCGCTAACAAAAAGAAATATTTATTTCAAAGTAAATTTTAATATGCTTTTTATCTGCATTATGTGCACATTGTATTTTTAAAGAACATTTTGTTTTTAATTTTGGACTTGATTTTTAAACAAGGTAAAAAGGGAACGTATGAAAGCGACGTAAAGTGAAGAATTGTCCACAGTAAATATTATTTAACAATAATTGAATATTTCCGTAAACAAACTCCATTTAAGCATTTATTAGAAATATTGCAAAATGCAAATTGGTTTGCTTTCTATTTTCATATCATTGAACATAGCAAGTGAAAACAAAACGAAGTTATAAGCTGCTGCGAAACGAAATGTTTGCAGTATGAAACTATTTTCTGCTTTTTAATGTTTCAACTATCGACAAAATTTAATGTGAAATGGTCACATTCTTGAAGCATTGAAAGAAAGAAAGATATCGGGTTTTGATGTACTATAAACGCTTATTTGCTATAGTGCTTCGCAAATTATTCTTGTTTACTTTTCCTGGCCTCACCATCCTAGATATACCTCTGTTTGAAAATTTGGCGGCTCCTTTCTTTTTTCAATGCACACGGCTTAAACATGTACAATGTCACGGTCAAGGGCCTCATCTATTTTTCCCACAGCTAACCATTGTTACTTGTTGAGGACATTGCCTTTCCATCATTAAATACATAAATAAAAATTAAAGTATGTAAAAGTTCACAGTAATGATGACAATTATAATAGTAGTAGTAAAATTAACAACGATATAAAAACCCATGAAAAATACTTTAATAATAAAATTCACTTAAAAGAAAAATATATGTAAATATATATAATCTTGAACACTACACGTGCGAGGTGCTGAAGCATTTATTAGCGCCAGCAAACAGGAATAAAAAATTAATTGTCAATTGTTATTAAGGCGCAGACATGGAAGTTTGTGTGCACACTGTGCCTTTGTTTTTGCAACGCAGTGAATCAAGTGGTGTTTGCCTTGCTGAATATTCAACAAAAAGAAGAAGAAGATATCTATATGAGATTAGCGTCGCGAATCATATATTTGAGAGAATTGTTAAAATGAAATGTAAAATTCCTGAAATATCCTGGCATAATCGTGATCCTGTGTTAAGTGTTGATATACAAACAAAAAAGGAAAGAAGCGACGTGCATCGCTTAGCGTCTTCTGGCACAGATGCCCACGTATTAATTTGGTATATGAAAATTACAAGAAACGATGTTGAGTTGGACTTGGTTGCTGATTTAACGAGACATCAAAGGGCAGTTAATGTAGTGAAGTGGTCGCCTAACGGGGAAATGCTTGCGTCAGGAGATGATGAAAGTGTCATTTTCATATGGAAGCAGAAATCAGATTTGGAACAATTGAACATATTGGACAATAATAATGAACAAGATAAGGAGACGTGGGTATCGTTGAAAGTGTTGCGTGGTCATATGGAAGATGTTTACGATTTAAGTTGGTCACCCAATTCATTATATTTGGTGTCAGGGTCAGTAGATAATTCAGCGATGATATGGGAGGTGCAGAAAGGTAAATCGATAGCCATCTTAAGCGACCACAAAAGCTTTGTGCAAGGGGTAGCTTGGGATCCAAAAAATCAATACATAGCGACCTTAAGCACTGATCGATATTTGCGCATTTTTGATATACAAACCAAGAAGATTTTATATCGTCTTAACAAAAGTACTTTGCCTTTACCCGAGGGTCATGCACTGCACGGGAAGCATATGCGCATCTTTCACGATGATACGTTGCAAACATTTTTTCGTCGCCTTAGTTTTACGCCAGATGGCAAATTATTATTAACTCCAGCCGGCATAACAGACTTTGAAAGTGTCTCTAAACCTTTGCATGCCACCTACGCTTTCACTCGTTATAATTTTCGGCAACCGGCGATTGTCTTGCCTTGTTCTGATCAATACACAATAGCAGTGCGTTGTTCTCCGCTCTTATATCGATTAAGACCTTATAATGCAAAGAAAAATCCTCCAGTCATTTCCTTGCCATATCGAATGATATTTGCTGTTGCTACGCGTAGTTCTGTCTACTTCTACGATACTCAGCAGAAATCACCCTTCGGATTAATATCAAATATTCATTACACTCGCCTAACTGATATTACTTGGTCTAGCGATGGTCGCATTGTGGTCGTCTCAAGCACTGATGGCTTCTGCTCATTAATTACTTTTGAAGAAGGAGAATTAGGTGACATATACGAGCAGTCGGAGGCTGTGTTGAAAGCTGCTCTGTCTGAAGATTTGCTACTTAATACAAAGAAAGCGAAGAAATCGAAAGACAATGAATCTCACAAATTGAGAAATCCTTCAGCTGATAATAACGCGGATAAAGAGACGATGTACAAAATGCGAGAAGACAATTTGCATTCGGAAAAATTCACTGGAAACGACGCGCAAGGCGAAACCAAGTTTAAAAAAGTTAAGCAAGAAATCGAAAAAAAAAATATGTCCAAATGAGGCGTTTCAAGAAAAAAATTATAACGAAGCCACTACTGATAGTGGCAACGAAGCATTAAGGAAAGTCTGTAAAGAGAAAACCGCAACAGAAGATATGAAGAACTCGAAGAATGATATGCAAAGTAATACAACATTAAATTCAAATTATAAAGTGACCACATCGATAACCGTCAAAGGTAAGCCTGGTTTGGAAAAACATGTCCAGCAAAAAAATACCAGTTCTGATAGAAAAAAGCAGCTAACACAAAACTTCCAAAAAAAGACCGACGATATCATTGCCAAAGCGAGTGAAAACAACGCGAATCGATTAGAAGCACAATTCGTGCAGAAGACAGAAAATTCTATTGTCAGCAAAGAAAAGGCTGAACTCGTAAATAAATTCAACAAAGAACAATTTACATCTAATCACGGATTGGAAAAGAAGTCGAATATGAACGAAAATTGTTCGAAGATCACAAACATTTTATCCAGGGATATAATTTTAGATAAAGAAATACTTAGTTCGGATGAAAAATTTGAATCACCGAAAAAGAAAAGTCGTCCTCTCACATCTATAATGATAAGAAGGCATCCGCGAGAATCAACTGGTTCACAAAATTCAATAAGCAAATATTTATCATCGTCAACATCGACAATAGTAAGCAGTCACCCAAAAAAAGATTGGGTAGCCAAGCCTATAGCAATACGCCGAACTCCTAGAAACGTGATGACAACAGCCGCACTGACCGAAGAGGCGATGGACGCCTGGCCTTTAACAAAACAATCGAATGTATGCAAGGATTCAAAAATTGGCAACACTGAGGGGAATTCTGCTTCTACTGAACCCAATGCAGAAAAATCGAAGAAAGAGGAACTAGTTTCACCATCGTTGGTGATAAGTGATAGCAACTGCGAACATACTGAAGAAATACGATTAGTTTATGAAGAGACGGTGGAAGAACGACCGTCAAAGGATCTAGCTGAAGTAAATTTTGCTGAATAATTTGCTTGAGTTCCCGATGCGAACATCGTAGCAATAGCGCATGCTCAGTCGATAGAGACATAAAGCTTATCAACTCGACGCGCATCCATCTGGCAGCGGCAACCATCCACCTCTTTCGATTTGAGGCCATTCCCCGAGTGATTGGTCAAATCAAAAGAAGAAAAAAGGAGAGCCAATAATGGTTTCTGATCGTCCCGTAAAATATAATTAGGTTATGAGGATTGATGAACTATTTTTCCGACCAATGGCCATATTTATTTCTACATTTTCACATCTTTATATTGTATTTCCTGTATTGACAGTCTTTCTATTCACTTTGATTTATTTTCCCACTTGTACCGTTCAGATTATGTTATATATGATAGATATATAGGAACGTAATTTTTATTTGAGAACTGAAATGTTTAATAAGCGTAAGCTGTCAACAATACTTGCTGCTCATATATCTATCTTACTACATACAATAAGCATTCTATAGCTTTCTCTTCTTAGCTGAACGGATCGAGTCTGTCGATAATAAGGTCCAATATATCTAGTAGCGTGATCGATTTTTATTCTTTGATGTTCTTGTTCATAAATTTTGATGTTATGAACTGGCCAGTTTTGACTTCACTTTTAATGTTTGTTCAATTTTTTCTTAATTGCATCCTATAGCTTAGGATCTCCCAAGTTTCTATCCTTACAACAAAAAAGGCCACTACTTACAATATTATGATTGCTTAAAAACCATACGACTTGAAGTGCATCAATATAAAATTATCAGTTCTTAGCCAATAAAGTAATTAAATAAAAAAAAAAAAAAATGTCTAAGCCAAATGCTTTTTTTATTTTTCAAATTTAGTCTTGAGAGCTTCGATTACTTTATAGTTACAAAGCTGCGAAAAAAGCGATCGGACACTGAAAATTAATGCAAAAATTATTAAATTGTCTTATAATTCAAACTAATTTACTTCCCACTATTTACGAATCCTAAGAAAATTAAGTTCGCTTAAAACAAGACAAAAAAGAAATCATTGTTGCCAAACTAATTTGTTCTTAAGATTTCGCAAATAATATAAAAGAAAATATTCGAATCGAATTTACTTTCTTTCATTTTCGCTAGAAATCCTTCCATATGAATATCTTTTGGAGATATTTTTTTATAATGTAATATTCCAATTACGATAATAGCCCAAATTAAAATAGATACTGATACATGAAAAAACATGCTTGCTGATCTTTTGCAACTCGTTTTTTTAGCTGGGTAACGGAGTAACGGAGCTGGACGATTATCAGGCTGATTAATTCGAACTTTGGACATTTGGCGCTGCAAGTTAAAATTGAAATAGAATAGATTTAATCGTTTCATTCAATAAAATGAGTTATCATTCTTCACCTTCTTACGAGGACAACCTTTACAATCAACCGAATTTTTAATCACACTCATTTCACCCACGCAAAATTGTAAAATTATTAGCAAGAAAACAATAAGCTGAAAGAAAGAAATTTCTCAATTGTTTTCTGTACGCAAGAAAAGAGTTTGAACAAGTGATGAAAAGTTTAACGTATAAATCAAAGATATAGTGTGTAAAACATACAAGTAAAAAAAAAGTATTATTTTATCTTTATAAACTAAAAGACAAAACATATCGTTTCAGTTCCATTTTCAGCAAAATCTCCAGCCCAAAACTAATGTAATGCCAGGAAGTTAGCTGAAGGGAAATTTTACGATTTTCTCTCTCGAAAGAAAACATTTGCTACCATAACAAAAGCACGAAATTCATATACATAATATATTGACTTTTGAACGATTAATTCTGGATATTATTTTCTTTTATTATTGATGATACGTTTGAAAAGAGCAGTTTGAAAAATATATAATTAAAATAATTTATTTTATATATATAATTTTCCATAGTATATATTATCCTAAAATAGAAGAAAATAGGTAAAAAAGTAGTTGCCTATATTTTCGTCGTCACCATCATTTTTGCTTGTCTGGAAAATGTTGTTCTAGAAATCCAATTTTTCGTATGATCG